TGACAAAATCCTTGATGTCAACGTTCGTTGATCTCGAAAAATGCGCTTAAGATTCCCATTTGTAGCACACAGCATTTAGCTCTGTTGCCAACTCAAATTACGCCAGCCCATTGTATATGGAGCTAAGTTTCACAAGTGAAACGATTAATCCAAAATCTAATGTACTAATTTGCAGCAGGTCTGCTAATCCAGGATACTTTTTGGGTGCTTCATGGCTTAAACACATGCCTCATCGCAAGGTTCGGAGCTTGGAACTAGAATTCCACAGCTAATTCAAACCGGCTGAAAAAAGTCATTGCTTCCCAGATTTCCCGAAACCAATTTGTAAAGTCATATAAAACAATATTGAGTATTATAAAGACTTTTGAATTTTAGTTTTTCCTTCTCTAAAGGAGCTGCAAACAATTTTTTGGGCACTTACTCAACACTGTTCTAACACCCCAAACGCATTGATGCATAAAGCAATGCAACCCATGTCCATATCTAATTATTTACATACTAAGCAATGCCCTTTGGCGCCTTTCAGCTGCAGTCCCACCAATCCCAATGAAACTTGTTGCCTGATCTGGCTGACTGGATGGCTGGCTGTCTGCCTGGCTGACTGGCGATTTGGCGTGGTGCGACATGGCCTGGCCTGCGCATGGGTGATAAATAAATTCAGGTATTAACTTGCCATATATTTTCATTATATGCGACACAGAAAGTCGTGTTTTATTTCAACACAAGTGGATTTTAATAATAAAATGTGTCTAATTTGGTACCCACTCGCACCGAAAGCAGAAAACCTGATTGCCCAACACCTTTTCCAGGTGAGATTGCCAGCCAGCCAGCCGTTCGGCATGGCTTCCCACTGGCCTTTATGCTAGGTGTGCGGTGTATGTGCAACTGCAACTGCAACTGCAACTTGCAACTTGTATCCGTATCCTCCGTGGTACGTGCGAGGCGTCAATGCTTCATTTTCACTGTCATCTTAAGTTGATTGCAAGTTACGAGCGTGTTGACAACAACAACAACAACAACAGCAACAATAATAACTACAAGAACTGTGCAGAGACTGGGGGCATGGTAACGGTAATTGTCGGCGCGCATGCGTCTGGGTTGAGGTTATGTTGAGGGGTTAATGCCTGGTTGAGGTTATGTCCATGTGCGGGCGGCTTATTAATCAGAGCGCTCTGTTAAATTGCGCAACTCTTGGGAGCATGTGGCTTGAGGCATGATTCATGCTTAATTGGAACCCCCCGCACCGCCACCCCAGCCGTGCAACAGCCGTACAAATCTCACCCAGTTGTCAATTTCACAGACAACACATTTCAATCAAACTTTGCTGTGCCATAAATAAACCAACAACTGGACAGAGCCTCCAGCTCGCAGACCCATACACTTTTCAGCTTAAAGTCTTGTGCTTAAATTACAGCTTGGATTTGATGTTGTTGCTGTTGTTATTGTTGTTGTTGTGTGCACGCCTAACGTTCACATTTTTCCACATGAAATTATGAAGTCTCCATGGCAATTAATACGCATGAGCCTGTGCCTGGCCAGGCCCGGCTTCGGCTCCGACTCCGACCCCGACTCAGGCCCAACTCTATGGCGGGTGCTGTCGTCTCGCATGTCAATTTGATGGCAATTAACTACGGCCAGCGTTTTGTTTTAATAATAAATTTAATGAGCTGCCAAAAATGGTTGCAAATTTACGTGGCAATTAGCGAGCAAAGCGACACTTGGCCAACAGATCGTGTGGTGGTCGCTCACTCGTTTGGTCAGCGGTGCCGCCAACTGCCGCCAACTGCTCCATATTGCTAATGAGCCGCTTTTTACTGGGCTTCGAGGCTTGGCCACAGTGTCTGTGTTGGCATTTCGAGCAGTTGCCAGAGGAGCGCATGGAATGTGGATTTGGCCGTTGGATATGCTTAGCTGCAAGGTGTGGCCACTGGCTGGCATTACAAATCCTTATATACATTCTACAGATGCAATGGTGCAAAGACAAAAGAACAGTGGGCTGTAGTAATGGAGGTGTTTGGATGGGCTACTATGAATAGGACAAGAAAAATGGCGCCATCAAAATGTATATAAGGTCAGACAAAAAGAGTAAATAATACTCGTGAAATTTATATAGCAATTAAAAACAAGAAACAAAACATTTAAAAGCTCTACTCTAATAGTTAATAGTTAAAAGAAAAAGTTATAAATTTGTAAATAAAATTTAAAATATGTCGCCCAATAAAAACGATTATGCTTCATAATCGATAACCCAACAGAATATCGACTTAGTCAGTTATCCAACACTTAAATATAAAAATCCCACATTACCGATAGTTTCATAATTTTAATTCAAGCACACACATATTGCACACACATTGCATTAGCAGTAAAATAAGAAAATAAAATATATAAAAGAGACTGTTGCTGTTATCCAGAAAAAAGGCCTTAGATGCGACAGCTGACAATGGACATGGCGTGCCTCCAAACACTGAAGCTTGAAATCAAAACTTTGGAGAAACTATTCCCGAGGAATCACTTGCAGTTTCAGATAGTCAACGCCAATCTGGACGAGCTTTTGTGCAGATTCATTGACAAGAATGGCAAGCACTATGATATCCATGCGAACATCACGGAGACGTATCCATCGACGCCGCCAGTTTGGTTCGCCGAGAAAGACGAGCCGAGCATAGTGCAAGCCCTGCAAATCCTGAGCAACACTAATGGACAGGACAACCACGTAATCGTTCAGGTTGAGCTGCTGCTTCGCGAGCTGTGCCGTTTTCATAACATTGCGCCACCTAGTGATATTGATAATTTGACCATACCATTGGTAGCGCAGGAGCTGCCCGTCTGTCAAGAGGATAACGGCTCCGATTCCGATGGGAATGAAATAAGGGAATATGATACCTTCTTCTGTGAGAACGAGGCGGGTAACGAGTGTGATGAAAATTTACCCTTGGCAATGGAAAACTTTCAAATAGCTAACGCAAATGATGTCATGGACCAGGAACAATTAGCGACTCTTAAAAGACTGCGACAAAGTCAAAGACAGCAACATTTGAAAGGTTGCGTTGGCAGTTCCGTGCAGGCCACCGATCGCCTGATGAAGGAGCTGCGCGATATTTATCGATCAGATGCATTCAAACAGAAAACATACTCTATTGAGCTGGTCAACGACTCCATTTACGAGTGGAACATTAGCCTCAACTCTGTGGATCCGGATAGTCCACTTCACGGTGATCTATTGCAGCTAAAAGAGAAGGAGGGCGCAGGCGGTATTCAGTTCAGCGCCCTCTTTAGGGAAACATATCCATTCGAACCGCCATTTGTCCGTGTCGTACATCCTATCATCTCTGGTGGCTATGTGCTCATCGGTGGCGCCATTTGCATGGAGCTGTTAACCCCTCAGGGCTGGAGCTCCGCCTACACTGTCGAGGCGCTGATAATGCAAATAGCCGCTACGCTAGTCAAAGGCAAGGCGCGCATACAATTCGGAGCTACCAAGAAACTCACACAGGCCCACTACAGTCTGGCACGTGCCCAGCAAAGCTTCAAGTCGATGGTGCAGATTCATGAAAAGAATGGTTGGTTCACTCCACCCAAGATGGATGGCTAAATCTCGAGCCGTGTTCACTGAGTACACACAAAGCCAAGCAATTGATAAACACAAATTCTAGCTATCATCATAACTGTCACTATATACGTTCAGTTCTGCCTGAACAATGAAAACATTCCCATCAACAATTACGATATTATTTTGATGCATTCTCATCGTAATTAAAATCATTTCATGTATGGAGAAACACTTTTTTTAATTAAACTTTCTACGTGGCTTCCAAAGAAAACAATTAATAAATAAATTATCGTAAATACAGCTATTGCCTTCTAATAGGAACGCTTCGACTTCATAGCTGACAAAATTATAAACAATTGGAAACCCAAAATTGACATGAAAAAAATATTATAAAAATAAATATGAAATTTATTTTAAATATATTATATTTTGATGTAAATCAGAACTTTTCCATCTTGGTAGATTGTTTGAAAATCATTTGTCAAAATTAAATGTATTACAATTCTTAAAAATAAAAACAAGTTTTCGTCTAAAATTAAAATGCCGTTTCGTATTTCGAGAAAAATCAATGTTGCATGTCTTGCCATATTTCCAGCCCCTGTACTAAAATTTCAATCACAATTTTTTATATAACAAGACTATATAGGAACATTGCTTAGAAGTCCTTTAATACAAACGTTTAATAATATCAGCAAAAGCATATACGAAAATATCTTTAAAGCCAGAAAAGTTGCCCATTTAAAGTCTTTTCGACCGATTTATACGATTTTGCTCAAAAGTAAAGAGTAGAGCAAAGCTCTTAAATGCCAAATTTGGTCAAGACAAGGCAAACAAATTATAAAAGAACTTAAAGCAAAAATGTTATAAAAGAACTTAATTTTTGGACGATTATTTCTTATTCTGCATATATACTCCCTGCAACAGAAATACAAGTTCCTCGGTGTTTGCCTCAAAAACGAGAAAAGTTTGTATCTATAGTGGTCTAATCTGGTCGGTTCCGACGCCTGCGGACGAACCTAAGATTCAAGTCGATAGCCTTAAAACTGAGAGGTTAGTTCGCATAGAAACAGACAGATTGGCAGACGGCCATGGCGTTATCAACTTGGCTGTTGACACTGATCCAGAATATATATACTTTTTGGAGTTGGAGAAGTCTCTTTCTATGCGAAACACATTTCATGGCAATTGTAAAACTCTCTACAAGAGTATAAAAAGGCCTATTAAAATTAAATATTTAATAATTATAATAAATAAATTCAAAAAACGTTTACCGTTTCCCAAAATTGAAAAAAAAAAATGTTACTTCAGTTATCAGCAAAAATACCTATATATTTAATCATGTGAATTCACTCTGTAAATTCGAAGGAAATTCGATTTAAAATGTAGAAGCTATTTAAGATATTTTATACAAATGTTTTTTTATAGTGAAAATAGGAAGGCAGCTCGTCGAGCACTATCGACTGGGGCATAATTTATTTTATAAATTTAAAGTAACTAGATTAAAATTCTATTAAAAGCTTTTACATTCTCATAATCGCACGCTTTCAGTTGTTTTGAGTTATGCTGGAACTTGGGGAAAACTGAATTTTCCATTCAAACACCGTTATGTCTGCATGTGCATGTGTGAAAATACATATATTGTATCATGGTGTAAAGTCCTATAGATTAGATAACTTGTTTAACAATTGGACCCGACTAGAATGAATGAATCTCCGCGCCAAGACAAAGCCCGTCTTAGAAGAAGCTGACATGGGGGAGAATAGGGAATAGGGGAAACAAGACGAGTGGATTAGTGATGGATGACTGTCGAGGATTGCGATGACTCCTCACCTCATCTGTGGGTGATAGCCATATTGCTCGCGCAGCTCGGCCTTTGTGATGGTGCGCTCCAGTTGCTCGGGCATCAAATCAAAGTGACGCGCTAGTATCTTCCAGTGCACCATGTTAAAATAATTGTATTCGCCGGATTCCTGGTAGCCGCATATAACATAGTGTGGATTGTCCGCCTGACGCCGGATCCAGAGACGCTCATAAATGTGGAAGCGCCAGCCGCGTTCCGCCAGTTCCGCAGCCGCCAGCATTTGCATCATATCGCCCGGATATGTATAGAAAAAGAAGAACAACAGCTCCACCTCCATCTGATCTATCTTGGGCTGCGGCAAGTCCTGCCCGCCAGCGCGTCGATAGTGCAGCGGCACATCATAGTTAACCTCATGTGGCGCACAGCGTCCGCCCTGCAGCGGCCCGGCAAAGCAGGCGTGCAACTTGTTCGCCTCGCAGGCACAGCAATGCGCATCCACATTTAGACCAGCCGCCTCGTGGCCAAAGATCTGCGACAACAGATGCGGATACTGTTGCGCCGCCTCTAAGTTGCTAGCCAGTCCGGCCAAGCCGTAGGCACCTTCCATGCTGCTGCCCGGTCTATCCCAGCGACGTGTGCTGCCCTGCGGCGGCGTTATGTCAAAGGTAACGCCACCCAGCGGCACACCCATGCGATTGGTGCGCAGGCGCCCATAAAATTTGATGTGCTCAAAGCCAGGTGGCGGGCCAATGTTAGGAGCTGTCGTGTCGTTGTTTGACGTCTGTCGGCTCCACGCGCGTTGACCCACACCGGCGGTGAGGAACTGCTTATCAAAGATGCCGCTGCTCCGGCGTTCGAAGTAATTTTGCTGGTAAGCATCGCTGTCCGGGGAGAACAGCTCGGTGGGGCTGTTATTAAAATCGGTGGTAGCGGCAACGAGTGCCACCGTTGGAGCCTCTTTTTCAAGCGTTTCATGGTCGCTGGAATATGAATTATTTTTGCAGCCGTTGCTGCTGCCGCTACTGTGCAGCTCCACAAGTAAATCAGGCGCCGGCTCCGAGTCCAGCACGAATATCGCCCGCTCACTGACACTGTCTGGTGTCGGCGGCTGCAGCACCTCATCATCATCATCGTCGCTTATCATGGCTGTCCAATCATCCGGCACGGCTCCATTGCTGCCACGCAAATCATCGTGGGTGCCCGGCAAGGCTGGAAAATCCTCGCGCAATATGGTAAACTTTGGCGGCGGCGGTGTGGCTGGTGGCGAGGACTCTGGCCTGGACATATTCTTAACCACATCCACATACAGCGCCGAAGAATTCAGATTTTGCTTGGTTTGCTCTGTTTTCTTTTTACCTTCAGCGGATGCTGCAGCGGCCGCGGCAATTGCAACAGCTGCCGCAATCGCCTTCGCATTGTGACGCTTCATTTTGTTGAACGAAACAAAAACGAAAATAATCCAAATAGAAACAGATGATTTGATAGCAGCTTAGGAATTTTTTTCAATATTTGACAACCGGAGCAGATGTTTGACAGTGCTGTTAATGTCAAATTAGGCGCCCAGTGCTGGACAATCGCCGGCTTTTCTGATCGATAGTCAAGAAGCCTCGATAACTTGCAAAGCTTTGATCAAATCCAAATTTAACGAATATCTATAACGTTTATAGTTGTGCATGAGCGTGTGTGCTTGCGTGTGTGTGTGTAGGAGTGTGTGTGGGTGAGTGTGCTACGGAAATTGCCATAAACCAATTTAAAAGTCGAATCATAAATTTAGCAAGCTGCCTAAACGCAAATTCACCTGCAGTTGCCGCCAATTGGCAACGCAAAGAAACGATCGTCAGGTTATGCAAAGAGTTATGAAAAACGCTGTTGCGGTAGAAAAGGGAGAGAGAGAAAGAGAAAGAGAGAATTACAGGCCATTAACTTAAAATGACAACAGCACAACATAAATCTCAGACCAGCCGCTTTGTGGCTGCACTTAAAGGCAAATGTCTGGAAATTGACAAAAGGAACGCCGCATGACCATAAACTGAAGCTAAGACTCGGCTGGAACCTGGACCAAAGTGGTGGCGCGGCTGTGGAGTGGGCGGCGCAGGCGTTGGCATTGTGCGCTAATAGCCCAAGCACCATGCAACACCAGCCACTGTCCACCAAACCAGACAGACGAAGAGGTACTGGAGTGTTGCCACACCCCAGCCCCCCTCCCCAACGGGCACTTGGGAAATTTATGCGAACGAGGTGCGAGCGTCAAATTAACGAACTTGTCTGCGAGAACGAGGAGCGCAGGAGATGATGCAGATGCGGCCCGGCGGCAAAGCACAGACTAGCCAAAATCCTCTCTCTCTCTCGCCTCTCTGTGTCTGCCTATATCTGCATCTCTTTCGCACTGTTAAGTCAAAACATTCAGGAAATCAGGTGCACGCAGTTCGGTAAATTAAGCACAAATAATATAAAATACAATAATGCTAAATCCATGCCGCAGGCATGAAAAATGATACACATAAAGAGGGACAGACAAAAGTTTCCATTGGAGATGGACAACCAAAGATGGATTATTATTTGAGAAAAAGGAATTTAAGTTCCAGTATTTCTTATTGGGAGCTTGGAATCTAACAAGTTAAAAAATTTTAAAAAATATTCAGATCAGAATGAAAGATTTGAAATCCCAGGAATAGATGTGGAAACTATAATAATAATAATAATAAATATAATAATAATAATACTATAAATATTAAAAAAATGTCAAAAACATATATTTTTTAATTAATACAGATTTAAAAGATCGCATTAATGTTCAAGAATAGTGAAAATTTTGATACACCGTTATTTTTCAGCCGTTTGCAATAGTGTTTAAAAATGTATAGCCTTTTCCGTGTTGAAAACAAGCAAAATATCACCTGATATTTACAGTGAAAGAAATTGTTAATTGATTGATAAAATGAAAAGGTCGTGTTCTTCAGCTAAAATCTTGCGCATCGCATGTTGCTATAAAGGCACGACTTATATAGTATAGACACACGATATATCTCCAGCAAAACGAGCACCACACGCGCCCATACCTAGCCAAAGCTAACTAACATTATGAATTACCACTTTGGCTCAGGCAGAGCAGAAGCTGCTTGAGCTTGGCCACAAAAACTACTATAAATCATACTCATGTTGCGCTGGGAAAGACAACGACAACGCCGATCCGAGCTGGCCCCCAAGTGCAGTGCAATGTTTTCCGAGTTCCAGATATCAGAGTCCAAGTGCAACGAGAGCCAACGGCCACTTTGTAGACAGCGGACGGGTCAGCAATTGCTGAGCCATTAAATTGCCATTGCCAACAAGTGAAGCGCAGATGCCGGGCCTGGACACCAACTTTACCTGTTGCTCGGTCGGTAGGTGTTAAGACCCGGCATTCACTTAAGCTGCTTTGTACTCACACAAGCTCCCAAGATTACCAGCTCCAAAATTACCCGTGTGTGCATATCTCGTATATTTGCAGAGTGAATGAACTATTCCAGTGCCAGGCAAACATTATGGAAATTAGCCCTGGCCCCAAAGTGACGCCCCATCACCGACACAAATGACCCCAATGCGCATCACTCAACTGTGTGTGCGTCGTCAATGCAGCTGAAGCTCGAGTTGGAGCTGGAGCTGGCCTAATGACCAGCATCAGGAGCAACAACAGCGAGAGCACTTGCATCCGCAGAAGTTGGTCGGACGCACAGTTTTACGAGCAGCTTGTGCAATTGTGTGGGCCTGGGCCACCAAGCTGCCTTGCCGGGGGGTGGGGCATGTCTGCCTTGTACTGAAACGCTTAACCGGGCCATTAGTCGAAGCGTCCTAATGGCCATATGTTTATGAGACTTTTCGCAGCACTCAAAATTATGCATATGTAATAGGTGTAGATCTGTTGTAGCTGTTGTGGGCGGTGGACACGTTTTTTTATGCTCTCTGACTAATTTCTTTGATGGCCTTGCCACTTTAAGCTGAAGAACCAAGCTACAAAGTCTTACAATGTTCGTAGAGTATATGCGGAGCTTACTCCTGACGAAGTGTCAAATTATTATGAATATACGAAAGAAGACACAAAAGGTCCTACCTAAAATATAATTAAATAATCTTGTAAAATGTAAATATTCTCAATAAAGTTGACGAAGAGTGTAACAAGAGTATAATATAATTTGTTAGAACGCTGGATTATGCGAGAAGTGTGAAACCGGTCTCAAATAAATTTTGAAAACTAATTTAAACATAAGATTACACAGCACCAATCATTTGACTCCGATTTCCAGCGTTGATCACCAATAAGGCGATCAGTCAGACTGTTAGACAGACAAACAGTTTTATAAATTAAGATATTGACCACATTTTGTTCTCCTCAGTTGAAAAGAATTGAAAATTCCAAATAAGCAAGTAGAAACCAAGCAAAGCTATTGACCTTGCCCACTTGATGCTGTTTGAAACAAACTAGTCCATCATTACAGATGAATTACCAACTTTAATCATCAATCAAATGCCTAAGAAAACCAACTCATAAGGTAAATGCAATTGCAAGTCAACTCTTGGGGTACTTGGACAACAATGTTGCATTGTCGTGCGTTGTCGTTGCTGCTGTTGTTGCTGTAACCATTCACCGAATATTCACTGATTTCATAAAATATTACGATAAATGTCGTTTTCAACATTTATAAGCGCGGATTTTCATATTTTATTGCTTATAACTGCAAAGCGACATTAAATGCTGCTGCTTAAAGATACAAAATGCAGCGCATAATAAACCCAACAGAGAACCCGATCCCCCAAAAACAGATCTGCCCAGACCCCAGAGCGATTCATACTAAAAACAAAAAAATATACAAAAAAAAAAAGAAAGAAGGGAAAAAAATGAATTGTCTTCATTTTGTAATTTAATGGTATTTTATTGAATTTTTGATGCACACGGACAAGGCGACTACGGTGTGGAGCCGCATCCTTGGCTGCTGTGGCTCCAGTGGCTGCTGCCGGGTTTCGAGATCTTCGGTTAGTTGCCGCCGCCTGTTGACATTTAAAATATGGCCGCGTGTCAGAGCGGATGCCCTACGCCCATTTTTATAGCAGTCAGGTTTACATTTCGATTTCGATTTCAATTTTTGGCACTGATCCCCAATACCCAGTGCCCAGTACCCAGTGCCCAAGACCCGAGCCCGAAGCTGTTCCTGAAGCTGGCGTAAATTCAATTTGAAGGTCTGCACAGCGTCTGAATTCCCGAGATGCCAACAAAATGTGCTTTCACTTGACCCGCAGTGCTGCGTAAATAAATTTTATCGCTCTGTTGACACGTGCGCGTAATATTTCATTAAATTTAAAATACAGAAATAACAAAAATATACAAATAATACAAATAAATACGATGCGAAATGAGATATTTTTGAATCGCCGAAGCCTTAATACCCTTGCATACGGATGATTTAAAATGAAATCACAATTAACTTTTATCCAATCTTTTCTCTTTTATAATCTTGGGAATTACAATCAAACAAACAATCAAATCAAACATATTAGAAAATATCGTATTACATTGCTTTGTGTAATTTCAAAAAATCATCCTAAATAGAAGCAACTGAATAGACGAACTGCGTCACGTTATTTAAAATAAAAAAGTCTTTATATTTGTAAAACCTAAGCGTCGTTTCGAATCGACTCAAAATAAATTTATTGAGAGTATATACAATGGGATCGTTAAATGCCTGTTGACTTCATAAATTGTGTATACCCAATGCAAGAGTATAAATATATATGCAATCAGTAAGGCTTGTGCAGGGTGCATAAACAAATCGGCAGCCGCATCGTAACTTCGTTTTCAATTTGGCAAGTTTGACACTTGGCCAGTTAGTCAATTGGCCAAGTTTCACAATTGGCCAACGGGCGCGCAATTCAAAAATGTGTCCAAGTGCCACCTACGTTGCATGCTGTTGGAATTGGTTTGAAGTTGAAGTTGAAGTTGCCGTTGCCGTTGCGCGTTGCCGTTGTCATTGGGGGCAACCTGTCGCTACTTACGCCATTCACTTGCCGGCAATACGTGGCTCCTGCTTATGCTCTGATTGCAAATGTCACGTAAAGCAAAACAACAATCAGCATGGGCCATTTCTTAGACCGCTATAACAAATAAATAAACTCGCGTGAGTTGCAACTTTAACTTAAGCTAATTAATCACAGACTTGCCCCCTGGCAAATGCGAGTGCAGCACAGGTAAATAATATGCCGCCTAGTTGGTATTGCTATAGGTTACAAATGAATACGGAAAAGTTAAGGGGTTAGGTAAGATCTGCTCCCATCGAAGAGTGTATTACACTTCAAACTATATTTAGTTGTATTTGATATTTTTACAAACTTCGTTCATTTTCAAAGGGGGCAGAGACACAGAATACTTTGGGACTTAATCCAAGTTGAGTAAGAGTTTTTGTTCAACATAGATCTAAGATCTAGTGACTCCTAAGGACATATAGCTACGTGGCCGGAGGAACAGGCAGACAGGGTGCAAAAAGAGAAAGATAAAGATTATGCTTCTCTAGTGAAAATCTCATATTTCACAAACGCAGCTATAAAAGAACGTAAATATTTTTCATGATCATTATAAGCCCACTTTGTATGTATGTAAAACCAATTAGGTAACCGCATGTTAAGCGTATGCCAAAAGAGAATTTATTGAATACACTCGAATTGTAATTGTAATTGTAACTGAAGCTGCCGTTGCCGTTACGGCCCTTACCCTGCGGTCAGTCATAATTTTAGCCATAATCGAATCGTATCGGTTAAGAGTAATGGACCAAAGGGTTGGAACGACGGCAACGCCCTCAAGATACTACCGAAACATACGAGTACAGCCCAAACACATTTTTCATACTTGCCTTCAACTTTGCACTGCCAAAGCGAATGAACCGAGTGACCAGAAGATAAGAGATATATATAAAAAAGAAAAAATCAAGTCAAGGCGCACTTTCAATTAATCAACGAAATTAATTAAGCCCCCCTGATCAGTGATCAGTAGTTGCCAGGCAACGGCCTCCTGAACACCGAGAGCGCTGAGCATTGAGGATTGCAACATAATTTTCATTTTGGCACAGCGTGCGTTTGTCGTCGCGTTGTTGTTATCATAGCAGGACGTGGCGTCGACGTCCACGTCCACGTCCACGTTCATGTCCAAGTCCATGTCCGCGTCGCCAACTCAGCAGCTTAGCAGCTCAGTTGGTCAGTTGGTCACTGGTCACCGCACTCAATTAGCACGCATGTAGCGCAACGGTGCGGCGATAATTAAGCCAAAGCCTCTGCATATACATACACACATATAGCTGAAGCTCTAGGCTGGGTCTAAAGCCTGAATTGGAGCCTGGTGACAATTGGGCCCGCACGATTTATGCGCTGCAGCCTGATGCTGGCGACCAATTGCGCAACATTTGTCTAATAAATTTGCGTTTAATCACGGCACAAAATGCTACACGCTGTGATTAAGTCCGCTGACGTTGACCGTACCAACTACCGTTTTTGGCCATGATAAGCAGCAGCAGCAGCAGTCAGCCAGCAGCCGCCGAGCCTCTGGTCTCTAATTCAACACCTAATGCTTAAAATGAATTATCCGTCTCCTGATAGAAGGAGTAAACAACAATCACAACATAGATAGTAGCTGTGAACCGCATGTGTTAATTAATTAATTAATTAGTTCAATTTTAAATTACGCGCATCTTCAACTCACTGCCAATCGAGAGAAAGGAGTATGCGACCAGTAGTTCGTCTTCAATGCTTGCACTGGACATCAGCAGGTAGAATATTAATTCGATAATTAAACTCGTGAGCTTCACAACTATTTGTACGGGCAGTAAATAGTTGAGTGTTTGAGGCTGTCGAAACACTGTGCTGAAATATCGTGTTACCTCCAGATTTTAGGGCACTCACATTATATGCGACAGTCAATAGTAAGATTCCAGCAATAATATTGATCTGCGCATGCAGAATCCATATCATGATCATGCGATGACATATTTGTCCGTATTCCAATACAACTAAATACACATTGGCAAAACCGTGCAGGATGATAAAGTAGCCAAGTAAGACGCACCCGAGTCGTAGAGACATGCAACACAGAAATGTCTTCAAAACAATCATGCTTGATAAAGTACACTACCAAGGTTGAGTATTACGATATGTGCTGAGGATGTAACTATTCCAATTTCTATGTAAATTTCTAATTTTGAAAGTATTTGCGAAGAACACAAAGATGTATTTTTCTTGCAAGTATTAAACACAATAGTAAGGTTTGTACATTAGTTTCTTATACCAAAAATCTGGCAACATTATTCTTGGTCAAAATTCATGTCCAAATGGTACCCTCAAATGTCCTAGATAGACATAGGTCAATATTTCCCACCCCCATAACTCGGTCAAAACTCAACCGATTTTCAAAAGGTTTGGCCTTTTGTTCATGGTTTGGCCTCTTTATCAATTCTGCATCCAAATCTGGCAACATTATTTTTGGTCAAAATTCATGTCAAAATGGTACCCTCAAATATTCTATATAGAAATAGGTCAAAATTTCCCACATCCATAACCCGTTCAAATTTCATCCGATTTTCATGAGGTTTGGGTTTTTCTTCATGGATTGTCCTCTAAATCAATTTGGCATCTAAATCTAGCAATATTATTTTCGGTCGAAATTCATGTCAAAATGGTACCCATAGGTATCTTGCCTACCTATGTCTATAGGCCAAAATTTCCCACCACCATAACTCGGTCAAAGCTCATCATATGTTCACGGCTTGCCTTTAGATCAATTTGGCATTAATCTTGCATATTGTTAAAGTATAGAAAACATCTCGACAACATATTTATGGATTATCACAGGAAAGTATTTCAGATACTATAGAATGTAGGAAATTCAATTAATTGCGTAAGAAACCGGAAATAGTCTATAGCTTATATCTCCACAGATTCATTATGCCGTTTGTTATACATTCTTAATGTGTGCTGGGTCGAAAATTGGCAAATGTTATCTCAGCAAGGCGGTCTGGCAGAGTTTTTTATTTACCAATATTATTCCTATCTAATAAATGATTCTGCATATATCGTCACATGACTTGCTAAGTCTACAAAAAAAAATTATCCACTAGGGCTCTGGATTAACTGTCTAGCTTTTTGGCATTAATTGAAATCCAAATTTTAATATATATCAAAATTAAAGTGTTATGCTACCGAGTGAACAACTACGCAACTTCAATCAACGTCTTATACCATTGACACCAGAGCTGATTCAGGATATGTTGGATAACGAGGGCCTTGAGTATCAGACGCCACCTGGTGGCCATTCGCTTTGCTCTGAGGACTACAGCCTAAGGAGCACAAGTCATACTAACGCAACGCAGTTTCAAGGTCAAAACCGGTCCTATAATTCCCAATCTAGGCCAGTTAGGCGATACGAGAGAAACTCAACGACTCGCAGACCGAACGAGGAGAGCGATAGTTTGGAGGAAGATAGCCATCTAAAGCATCAGCGTGCTAGGAAGCACAATCCGTCGAGGCTGTCGGAACCGAAATATCATTTGGAATTACTTTATGCCGGCAGGCAGGGTCAGCAGTTTAGTAGCAGCACAGAAGATGAGTCATCGAACTTGAGAAATCTTTTAGATATGCTTCGGTCCGCGGAACGACATAATTACAGCAAGGACACCGAGACCAGCTCGGCTGGCGGTTGTACGCAGCCTAAACAGCCCGAAACATTCTCCATGGAATTCTTGTGTATCAAACCTTCAAGAAGATGCCTATATAGTACAAGCTCTGACAGTTTAATTTCCAAACCCTCAAAACATATAGAGAAACAAAGCGATCTTGGCGAACAAAATTATTGCCGCATAAATCAGCATTGGATTAACATGGTGGTGGTACCCAAGTCGGAGACATCCTTTCTACTGAATCAATGCAAACTACAAAACTTTAAGACGAACAGCTGCAATGCCTACTACACGCCCAAAGCAAAGGACTTCAGGCGAGACCGTGAGGCGGTTGCTTCGCTCTTGGCCAGACCTCGCTGCAAACGGAATTCTAGGAATGCGTATTGGTAGTGAAAGTGAAGTGACTTTTTAATGGGCATTTTAGATGCACACATGTTCAAAACTATGTAAGCCCACACCAACGTAAACAACAACAACAACCACAATAATAACAACAAATTGCCTGTCATGTTATGTGTATGGAGAAATGCTTTTAGTTGAAAGTCTTACCTTGAGAATATCAGGGAGAGAGAGTGAGAGAGAGGGGGAAGCGCAATAAGGTTACCCTAAAACAAAAGCTGTGTTCAAGCCTACATTTTCCCCACGATAAAACATCAATTTGTGTGGGATCTATAGCTTTCAAAGTTTATTTTTCATCAAGACTGCGATTCTTAAGAAAATTCCCAGCGCTTACAAAGACAAGTCTTCACATCGCCGTAACAAGGTTACGAGCAAAAACTAAACCGGGTTGCGTATCTAGGAATAGCATTTTATCTTCTGTTCTTCACCGTGTGTTGATAAGAATTGGACTAAGTCAGTCTTATGATGGTTTATTCATCCTCTTTGAACTATGTTTATTATGCCTCTATTCTAGTCTCAGCAGGTGCTGAAATAGGTTTTAGAACTCAAACATAGCTAGTTCAAGAAACTGAATATTTTCTCGGAAAGTATTAGCATACGGTGCTGTTGAAATATTAAAGGTACTTTGAGAAATTGCATCCCAAATTTATGTTAAGATCCCAACTTGCTCAAAACTTAAAGCTTATATACGATGCCCTATCCTATAATTGTATTTTGAGAGCAAGAGTCACTTTCGGTCTGGAGTATTTCGGCAGGCAATTTATATTGACTTACCGTTGGTTTTAAGATCCTAAACTCGAGACACCTCCCACTACTTAAGACCAACGCCTTCAGACATTTCTGTCCACTACCTAAATTGGGAACCAGACTAAGTCAATAAACGTCTTTGTACTATGGTGTTTCCATACATTAGATAAGAAACTCAAACTCCTTGAGGCCGCAACAAAATTTGACCATATATATAGGTATAAAGCGCACATTATGGCCCACATATAAATCACCATTAATTTGACAGTAGATTTTACATAACTGCGTCCAACAGGTGAAAGCGAAAAGCGCAGCTGGCTATGGTCATGGCCAGATAAAACCCAGGAGATGCTGGCCCGGGTCCAAATGGAGAGTCATGAAGAAAAACTCGCCACTTGCACTCGTAAAAATTTACTACCTGACATGGCATGCAAAATCGAATTGTGTGCTAATATTTGGCCGAATGCTGCACAAGAGATCGCCAGAGGCCACCTTTTGGACATGGACATGACGTACTGACTGCGGACGAGGAGTTTTCCCAGTGCCAGCATCGACTTTCTGACAACAATAAAATCATTTTTGCATGCTCAAATTGGCAAATACCAGTTAGGCTGTGCTGGATGTGGTGGCCAGCTAGGGCGGGCGATTGTATGTGTGGAATAATCCAAGGAATGGCCAACGTCGGCGTTTGTCCACCTCGCAAGTGTCTCCGTGATCGACATGCAATGCCAGTGAAAATGGTTGTCAAATGGGTAAAAGTTGTCATGGAACCCAGCCGGCCTGAGCCTAACTAAACCTTTTGTTGCTCCCACCTAAGGGTACGATAAATTTAAATAAATCGCCTGTAAGACATAATATTTGAGCTAATAAAAAAATTTACACACACATTTGGGTTTTATCGACCATTAATAAATAAATAAATAAATTTAAATAAATTCAGTTATACCTTGGTCATATATATCATACAGTTGATATTTGAAAGACATTGCATTCATAATTATTTATTTGTTATTGAATTTGGAATATTTGGAACTATTGTAAATTGAAATATGGAAAAGATCATTGCATTGACAATATTATTTGCAGAGATGGATCCGTGAATATAAAGTATATATCAAACGGAAAAAATTATCTGTGATCCCATAAAACACACATATTTTTGATAATGATGACAAGCTGAGTCGACCTCAAGGCATCACAATTCTCTTCTGACTGGCTACATTTATATTTTTGCAATATCTAAATTAATAGTTGTTTTATTGAGATAAGGTTCCTAAACTAACGTTAATATATTATTATATTGCAAAGGTATCTAAATGAAGGAGACCTTAACAATTTATGAAATTTATACTTGTGATATGATTATAGTTATGTTTGGCCTTATTTGAGCAGACCAAAGGCCACGTTTGGTGCCACCGGCTGTTCCATAGTTGGAACTGGTTAACACGATTATGCAAGGTTAACTGCGTTGCGGGAGCGGGGGGGAATACAGATGATCGCAACGATCGAACCAACGTTTAGCCAACAATGCTGGGAATCTTAAGCCATGCACTTAAACTTAATCCAAGTCAAACAAAATGCCAACAAGAAGTTGCAGTTGCAGTCGAAGTTGAAGTTGAAGTTGCAATGGCGAATTGCAAGCTGCGTAGCTTGTCAAAGACAATTACGCGGACGATCACAATTGAGTGACTGATTGGCGAGGGGAGAGCAGTGGCATGGGCGAATGGGGGGAACAGGCGGGCAGGGGCAGCTGGAAACTTGAGACATTGAAGGCGTCGCGACAAAATGCCACAAAATGTATATCCTCGAGAGACGCCGCCGCTGCCGGCGTTGCCAACTGGCGACAATAAAAAAGGTGCTGAGCAATTTGGCGGACGCGTCTCTAATTGAGCCCAACGGCGCAACCCCCCCCCCCCCCCCCTCCCTCCCTCCGTGCTCTGCGTCAATCCCACTCCACCCCACACTCAACGCCAGTTGGCTGGAAGTCGTTGACACGTGTGTATACCGGAGCACTATGCTAAAATTTATATGTATTAGCCATGGCTAAGTGTCTGGCCGATAAATGGAGAAAGGTGCTTTGATTTAGTCCAAGCGCTCTACAAAGGTTTAACTCGCTCGCCTGCCAGGTGACAATCAATTTGTATATTTTCGCTTGAAATTATTTCTTTAATTTTGCGCACACATGCAGCAAGCGAGATGGCATGCTAGCTGTGTAAGCGAGACGGCATGCGATTGGAATTTCATTTAGAAAGTTGCACCAAAATGCAGTTTAAATAAAGAGAAAAAAAAGTAAAAATTTGCATTTGCCAAAGTCTGAGCGACATTGGCAGACTTCCGAGGCCACAGACGAAAGACTTTAGAGTCTGTAGACTCTTGCGACATTCTTCTGGAGTTGTGGAACGCCTTCACTTTTCACTTGAAGGCCCAATAGCCTTCTCTTAACTGGGCCATTTAATAATAAATGTTAGCATAATTTTTCGGTGTACCCGCACGATTTCCATACAATTATTCTAATTCCGTCAATCATCAGCAATTGCAACTGTCTGCCTAACCAGTCAAGCTCGTGCTCTATTGATCTTGTTTATTTTTTATTTTTATTTTTCTTACTCTGTTAATTTCTCGATTTTGATCTTTAACTTGTCTTGACAGCAGCCGATGCGATGCTGTGTGCGTAGATGATTTTTGCCACTCCTTTGGGCCATGTGGCTGCGTACTTCTGATGAAATGCTTTCTACTTTGATTCATTGTCTTTGTGCCCAGCTTTGTTTTGAAAATTCAGTTTTGAAAATCGTTTGGCTTTAATGGCTTTTGATTGATTATCGCGTGCCACGCTCTGTGGGTGCTCCAGCTCCAGCTCCAGCCCCAACTCCAGCTTTAGCTTCAGCTCCATGTGTGCTGTTTGGCCCACGTTTTCTATGATGCTTTTGTGGGTTGTTTTCTATTTATTTTTTTTTTACTTTTTTTTTTATTGAAGTATGCTTAATTAGCTTGATGTGTGTGTGCCTGTCTCCCTCGCCGCTGCACGTGCTGTGAGTTCCTGGTACAAGAGCTGAGTGGGCACAGACAAACCGAACGATGCAATAAGTTCAGAGTTGAGTCTTATAACAAGTTTACTTTACACGATATGCTTAAAGGGCTGCTACGTGACGTCGTCTTGACGATCATTAAAACCGTGTGGAGCGGTTAAGAATGTTGACTGCAACTCAATGATAATAAGGTTGATATTTCAAAATGTTATGTTATATTATATATTTTATTTGATATGCATCAAATCTTCAATGCTTGTTTCCACAAGTGAAAAGTGCAACAGTTGCAGCCTTCGAATAAAACATTTAGGTTAAAAACTACAGACCATTGCATTTATCTAACGATATTTAATAAATGGCTGTTTTGGATAGAGGTCAATTTTAGCACACAGCTTATAAAATATTTTAATTAATTTTTAGAAAATATATGAAAAATGAAGGCTTAAAGCAAAACTTTGGCTCAAGATTCACAAACCAAACCATTCGTGAACCGAGGCATTGACATTTGTTTTTTGCCCATAACACATTTTAAAAATCCTCAAACTTTAAATCTTTTAACACAGAGTTAAGCTCTTGCCGCCTTATTACCTAGAATTATATAGACCTATCGTATATAATAAAGATAAGATTTGTATATCAGATGTATGTAATAAATATAACTTAAGGCTCAATGAACTTATGTTTGCATAGGTTTTGATGAATATTTTCTAGAAAAAGCACTTTTATTTCCGATGTAATGGCAGCTTTAAGCTTTGAAATGCAGCTACGATGTCTATTTCTATTTAATATCGCTTTCAAGGCTGTTCTTTTTACATATATCTCGATGTTTATTTGCCGGAAGAAACCCTTTTGTCTTCTGAAATTCACTTGCAATTCTTCAGTTTCTTCATAATCTTTTTGTGCCTTTCAGAAACTTTGCAGCTTGGAAAATGTTTTTTTTTTTTGCTGCTTGTCTGCTGCTCATTAGACCCAATGCCCATGCGTTGGCTGTCCTACGCACTCCTTTTTAGTCTTAGTAACAATTTTTTGTTTGTGCTGTTGCTGTTGTTTTGCCGTCTCATGGAGCATAAAAACTGTTGCATTGTCTCTGTGACTGTTTTTTTAACGGGGCAGCCACCTCCTATGGAGCCTGGAGCCAGCTTGTTGGCTCCTGGCAATGGCCGATGGTGGGTGATAAATGTTAAGAGTCGCGCGTGTGCAGGCAGCAAGCAGCTTCCATTGAAATTAGTTATTCACGCGGATCGTTTAAGGCAATCCAACACCAGGAGGCAGCTAGGTGGAGGCGACTTGGCTGGTTAGCTGGCTGGCTGGTTGGCTGGTTAGCTGCTCTTGGAACTGGGCTCTTTGGTCATGGCTTGTCAGTGATGGCTCCAGCGACGGCTTGTTGTGGCTGCGGCTGTGGCTATTGTCGCCGCTTTTGTTTTAATGATCGTGCCACTTGGTGTCTCCCTGCCTGTTGCCAGCTCATTTACCGCTGCGGTAAACGGGATGACTTCAGTGGCATTGGCTTTGCCACCGTTGCTCGCTTATCAGTGCAACATTTTGCATGTAGCAGGCAAACAAAAAACCACGTTCAACTGCATGGGCATTTGTCACAGTCCCCCCCACTCGCACACACACACACACACAGACTTAGACAGACGGACACTTTACATGTGTCTTTGTGTATGTTTTTTTTATGTGTGCTTTTAGCCATTTTATCGTCGCTTTGGCTACCGCGGCGCTCTGAGCCTCTTTTTTCTAATGGCTCATTTCCTTGCTGCAGCAGTGCTGCTGCAACAACAACAACAACAGCAACAACAACGGTAATTAACCTGTGCATGTTAATGAACTTCAAACCTGCCCCCAACAGCAACAAAAGTAGCAACTGCAAAGTTTATGCAGATTTTTGTCTGCCAAACCAAGTCGAGTGGAGCCAGAGCCACAGTCGCCGCAGTCGGCGCAGGAGCCGGGCCAAGTCGCTTCATGGTTGGCGCTAATGCAAATCTCTGTGTGTGCTCAGGCATTTTGGAGCAAAATGAGGTTGTTGTCGTGCCGTTGACAATCTAATTAGAATACAAAATGCTTTTAGCCAACTTGCGACCAGGTTTCAAGTTCATGGTGTTGACATATGTAGCTGGCATCGCCGCAGCTTCAGCTTTCAACTCAGCTCCAACTTCAGCTGCACCTCACCCGCATCGCCCCATGGTCTATCTGGTAATGGGCTCTCCACGCTGGCAGCTTAATACCTTATTGATATCATATAAGGCAGGTCTCATACAAGCTTTGGATTTTAGATTTTGATTTCGCCTGCCTGACTGCCTAACTGCCTGCTCTCCTGCCTGCCATTATTGTGATTAGATGGAAAGTGCTTTGGCCATTCGGCTGCCATTGAGATGCACCGATGAACCTGGTTGACATCGCTGCCAAAAACTGTCAAAGCCAATGGCATTCATAATGAGTGGAAAGTTGGCAAGCATTTTTGCTTCAAAATTCGATAACTAAGCTCCGATAATAAGATTGTACAACAGCAAAGAAAGGTTCAATTAAGATAACTAATACAAACAGCATTTACAATCTTAAACATTCCATACCACACTAAAATCAGCTTTAAGATCTTTTATTAAGCTACGTAGGATTTTGGAAGCTCTTTTCGTGCTTATTTTTGAAAAAGTTTAATAGTTTTCAATTTTTGGGAGAGAGTATGTTAGACACTATAGTTTTTGCTATAATAATTCTTATCTTATAAAAATATAACTGAAATATTGTATATTATCGGTTTCAAACTTATAACCAAGATCTTTCAGAGAATTGAGAAATCATAAATCAGACAGATCTAAAATCTCTCGTA